TTTGAAGTGTAGTGGCCTGTTGAGTTCTCTGTAATTTCCTTCAGGTTATCTAACAAATTAAGCTCACTTTTTACTTCCCTTTCCATATTCTCCCTCTCACATCAGTTCCATATCTAATCAGTCATTGAGCGCTTCCTGTTTAACTCCCAGAAGTTTTTTTTTTTTTTTTTTTTTTTTTGCAGAACTGTGCTCCCAATGCACTGTCTCCATCTCTTGCCTGCCCCTCTTCAGCAGGATACTGAGTGCTCTTCTGTTCTAGGCTCATCCTTGTAAATCTGCTCTCTGTTTAATCTTCCAAGTGGCCTATCTAGATGAATGCTCCAAGAAAGTGGGCGGGATGTCTTTCTCTTTTGTAATCTAGCACCTGTTCATTGTAGGTGCTGTCAAAACTTGAATGAGTGAAGGAATGTATCTGAAATGCATTGGAGATTATCCATGTTTCTTCTCTGCATCTGATACATTCTCAATGGACTGTCATTCTGCACCACTCCCTTCTCTGGTCACTCTATACTTTATGCTTTGACAATACTGAACTACTACAGACTCACAGATCTGAAAATTCTGTATCTTATTTCCAGAGCTTACCCATGCAGACTCCCCATGTATGCAGAGCTCTTCTTCTTTAACTTTGTTAAATAGTATGCCCTGATATTATCGATGAATATGAACTTAGTCATAACTAAGCTTATGACCTCTTCTCAGAGGCGTTCTCTCATTCATTCCCAGTCCCCTCCAACCTGATCTGGGTTGGTTACACTTTTTTTTAAATTTGTTTTCTTTTTTTTTTTTAAGATTTATTTGTTTTTATTGGAAAGGCAGATATACAGAGAGGAGGAGAGATAGAGAGGAAGATCTTCTGTCCAATGATTCACTCTCCAAGCGACCACAAAGGTTGGAGCTGAGCCAATCCGAAGCCAGGAGCCAGGAGCTCTTCCTGGTCTCCCATGTGGGTACAGGGTCCCAAGGCTGGGGGCCATCTTCGACTGCTTTCCTAGGCCACAAGCAGGGAGCTGGATGGAAAGTGGGGCTGCTGGGATTGGAACCATTGTCCATATGGGATCCCGGCGCATTCAAGGCAAGGACATTAACCACTATGTTATCGCGCCGGGCCCTTTTATTACTTTTCAAAGTATGATTTATTTAGGAAAGAAAGAGAGAGGTCCTGCCTTAGTAACAGGAGGGGGCTCTAAGGGAGGAAAAACCTGAGGAAATGGTGGAAATGGTGTTTTTTATGCACCAGCTCAGGGAGAGGATTTACACGAATCACTCCCAAGGGCAGAAAGAAAACTTACTCATGAGGGGCAGTAATGTTTACCCAAAAACTATGGGTGGGTTACACTTCTTTTTCTATCATGTCTTCACTATATCATTTGTATTTACATCATAATGTAGTGATGCATTGGTGTTTATCTTTAGGGTTTCATGCATATGTTCATCTTTATATTCCTAACATAATATAATGCTTAAATTTAATAGGAAGACAGACATTTGGGAGAAAAATGGAACGTATCACTATGATAGTGTGAGTTTGCCGCTCTGAGGTGTTGGTTCTAGGATGCTTTGACCACACTTCACTGCAGCTCTCAGAAGGTAACATAGCCCAAGTACCCTACTCTGGCATGGCAACTGTGAAATTATTATGATCTTTGGTTTCTTGCTTTTTCTGTTTCAGCATTTAATGCATTGATGGCTGGGAAATTTAATATGACAGTAGCTACTGTTAATACCTCCTAGTCTCTAAGAGAAGGCAGTTACACATTTAAAATGTATTTAGTACTTAATGATATAAGTGCATTGTAAGTGAGTAATCCTTGCGTTGGCATTCTGTTTATTGGCTAGCTGAAAACTTTATTGTTTGCTCTTGTTTTGGTTCATATCAAGTTTTTAATGAAGAAAATCATGTTCATAGCACAGAATAATTGGGTGTATGAAAAAAGGAAATACAAATTTTATATTTAATTTTGCATTTCTCTATCTGTAGAACTGTAATATTGAATATTAAAGCCAGAAATTCTATTGGGCCCCCCTCCCCCCCCAGGGAGGGGGAAGGTAAGAAAATGATGAGTTGAGTCGTATCTAGGGAGTGCTGAAATGTGCAAGTTATCCTTGTTAGAGCTGGCAAGTCCAGACAGAGTATAAACCTTGCCTAATCTGCGCTGCTAGAACCTTCTGGGTGGTAAGTGGAGGTGATGTCAGGAGAAGCTAGTCAGAGAGCTGCAACATTCAGTTCTAAGTCATTCAGTCCTCTGCACTCCGAGCACCGTGCTTTCAGTTCTAAGTCATTCAGTCCTCTGCACTCCGAGCACCGTGCCCCTGTCTTCCTTTTGGCTTTACTCTGTTGAGCAACACAGTGTGTGAGTCTGAATTGTTCATTTACTCTGTCTTCTTGAGACTATGAAACATTGTAATCACAGATTTTTATCTATTCATTTTGTGTTCATAGTATCTAAGACTTCAGTGTTTAATGAAAATGAAAAGGAAGTGGGAATGTGAGGGTTGTATGTGCTGTGTAGAAGAGTGGGGCTGAGCATGGTCAGTTGTCACTGTATCCTAGCCTTAGTGGAAGGTGGTTGAAGGCAGTGGCTATGTCAATGAGAAGGACTAGCAAGGTCCAGGCTGATGTTAGGGGGCCAGAATCCTAATGAACAGGCATGCCTGGGGAAGGCAACCTGAAGCTTGTAGACATGGTGGCAACAGGCCTTTAGCCGGGTGTGCAAGGGAAGTAAAATTTCATCAGACTATATGCAAAGGTGGAGGTACGGGTTCTTTGTGTTCTGCCAGGATCAGTTAGGATCAGCTCAGGATGGGGCTGTGGTCATGCTTTAGGCCTCAGTATTTGCTACTAAGTGGAGTTGAAGATTGCAGGGATGCTTATATTCAGGAAATGAATGTGTCATTGTGTGTGTGTCTTCTTTTGAACTGATGTCCATGTTATTAGGCTAGTGTTGCTTTGGCTGTGGTGATGATAGAAAGCGATCAAAATGGACAGATCAGTCACTATGCCGGCTTATTTGCTTGCTGTGTATTGCTGCTCGTTTAAAGACGGTCATTGCACTACATGTAGTCTTGAGTATGTACTTTAATGGTAAGTTGTGAGAATACAGGAATTATTCAGGTTACTTAAGATTTTTTTTCTTTCAAAGAGCTATGGCTAGGCTAGCTAGACTAGTGTAAACTGCGTTAAGGCTTTTGTTTTTTGTTTGCCCCTCCACTCCCCTCCCTTTCCCTCCCCTCCCCTCCCCTCCCCTCCCTTCCCCTCTCCTCCCCTCCCCTCCCCTCCTCTCCTCTCCTCTCCCTCCCCTTTCCCCCTCCCCTCCCCTCCTCTCCTCTCCTCTCCTCTCCTGTCCTGTCCTGTCCTGTCCTCTCCACATCTCTCCTCTTACAAGCCCTTCCCTCTTCCTCCACCTCCCTCTCCTCCCTCCCTTTGCCTCTTTTCTTTCTTTCTTTCTTTCTTTCTTTCTTTCTTTCTTTCTTTCTTTCTTTCTTTCTTTCTTTCTTTCTTTCTTTCTTTCTTTCTTTCTTTCTTTCTTTCTTTCCTTCCTTCCTTCCTTCCTTCCTTCCTTCCTTCCTTCCTTCCTTCCTTCCTTCCTTCCTTCCTTCCTTCTCTCTCTCTTTCTCTCTTCCTTCTCTCTTTCTCTCTTTCTTTTCTTTCTTTTCTTTCTTTCTCTCTCTTTTCTTTCTTTCCTTTCCTTTTTTTTTGTGGAAACTTTTATCTGTAGCACGTGGTCCTGGATTTAAATGCCTTCTCTGCCTTCGTAGCCAGGCAGCCTTGGCCAGTCACTTATGGCCTTCCAGAGCTCTGTAAGATAGGTGCTGTCATTGCTGGCTGCTTGGTTTCTAGTCCTGGAGCTGGCTCATGGTAGATCTTCCTCCTTGGCAGCACCTATCAATGCCTATTTCGGGAAAGCATGTAGACACTTTTCAATAGAGGAAATGAATGAGACTTTGAGACTTGTTTGCTTGCTGATTTTACTGAAAATGGATCACAGGTGACTGGGTGTTCACTATTAGCACTGTACACATAAGATCTGATTTGCCAAAGAGATGGGCAATATCTACTATTGATTTCTTTTTCACTATTAATACTGGTCCATGGTTTCTCAACTATGTGCTCCACTTTTATAAACATTGCAAAAGCTACTTAGTGGCATCATTTCCCACGTAAGAATGTTTAAAGATTATTACAGATTGAGGACTTTTTTTCATTCTTACATAACGATTTCACATTTTAGAACTACGTAGAAGTACTGGATGATATCACTTCACACTCTGCTTTTGTTGAGGCTTTGGAGAGTGATGCAGTGAGATTTAAGGCATTCTTTTGTTGCAAATATGCTTTTTGTCCACCTTCCTTTAGGAAATCTCACAAATTGTGAATAAATAGATGCAGAAGTATTGTATTATTTTGCAGCTATTCTGAGTACAAAATAAATCATAATATTTTCTTGGCAGGGAAAAAAGCGATCTTAGACTTGTGAGTCTAAGGTGATTCTATATGCTTTGATTCCTGCTGTTAGTATTCAGGTGTTATCTGAAGCAGTGTATTAAGTATAGAGTATCTTATCATTGAAAATTGCATTTTATTAATAAAGATGTATGCATAATAAATAGTGAAATGTGTTTCACGTACATCAAAATCCTAAAGTGTATTTTCTGAAATTTTAATATAATTCCTAACTTTCTCATATAACTGCAGCCTTAACACCACAAATGGTAAAACAAAACAAAAAATATGTTGAATATGTGTAGGGAAGACATTCTGATTCTTGCTTGTGGCAAAATTAGTGAAACTCATGTTACGAATGGAACATATTGAGAGGCTTAAATTAGGTCAAATTGAATAAATGAATTTATTTCTTTACTTAAATCAGCATAATCAGCGGAGGGTGCTGAAATCTAAAAAAAGTTTTATCAAATATTAATGAGGAGTTTACATTTTCTACTTTATTTTCTTTTACAGGGATTGTACTTACTTTTTCTTTTTTCTGTTACCTTTGTAGGTCTGTGAAGATGAAGTGCAATCCTTATCACATGATGAAGGAGATGAAGTTGAACCCTTCTGTCTTGATGAAGAGTTTGATTACGACAGTGTGACCCTCACCCCCAAGTTCACTCCTGCGGAGCTAGGGAGTATCAAGGAGCTATCCAACCAAAAGCGAGAGAACTGTCACATAGACTCAGAGGAAACCTGTGACTAAGGCATCTTCATTTTCAAAAAACACTTGGAATAAATCTGCTGTCATTACATGTCTACATTCATTTATCCAAGTCAAGGATGAAAAGATAGGCTAACAGGGCTGAAGCGATCACTGGTTTAATAGAATTCTCTTTTGTTGTGTTATTGCTGCATCCTATGACTGACTGAGTCACATACGAATGGGAAGCTATAGGTGCTGTGGGATCTCTTTTGAGAGAACACTGAGGGTGAGAGACAATTGCACATGCAAAATTCATCAGGATTGGGTGTTTGGTCCACAGTTAAGATTCTGATTTGGAAGCCTGCAACTCATCTCTAAGTGCCTGGGTTTGAATCCTGGCTCCTCTACCAGGTCCAGTTTCCTGCAAATTCAGGTCCTGGGAGGCAGCAGGCGATGGCTTATCTATTTGGGTCACTGCAACTCTTACGGGACACCCAAATTGAATTCCCAGCTCCTGATTTTAGCCTGAGCAAGCCCTGGCTGTTGCAGACATTAATGGAATGAGCCAGTAGAAGTATGTTGTCTTTCTATCAGTCTATTTCTCTGTCTGTGATTTTCAAATAAATTAAATGAATAAAAAATTAAAACTCCTTAACTGCAAAAGCACATTGTCACACATAGAAAAAAAAATTGCTTATATGATTGAGTCACTGATCTTAGCCGTCCAGAGATAGTGGTGTCATTGTGAGTGTTGGGAGGTTGGACAGCTGGAATTGATTGGGATTGGCTTTACTGAAAAAGAAGGAATCTCAGAATCGATTACATGTCATGTGCTGAATTCTTGCATTTTGTTATTACCACCTCACTGTGTGTGATGATAGTTACAGTGCACCAGGAACGATCTCTGTCTCCAGGAGCTTGAATTATAATCAGGGAAGGCAAGACAACTAGAGAATGCAAAGCATCTTGTGGAGCAGTCATTGTGCAGAATGTATGTAAGTGTGTTATGGGAAGGAGAAAAGAAAGAGAGTTAATATGCATCAGAAAATTTACATTACTGGATGAATCAGTAACAAAGCAAATGTACTTAGGTTTAATCTGTTTTATTGATTGTTATTTAAAGGCAATGTTGTAACAGAGAAGAGAGACAGAGAGATACCTTCCATCTGCTGGTTCATTCCCCACTTGGCCACAAAAGCAAAAGCCGGGCCAGTGCAAAGCTGGGAGTCAAGAGCTTCTTTCGGGTCTCCCATGTGGATACAGGGGCTCAAGCACTTGGGCCATCTTTGCTTCTCTCCCAATCACAGTAGCAGGCAGCTGGCTCAGGAGTGGAATAGTTGGGACCTGAACTGGCACCATATGGGATGCTGGAGCCATAGGTAGAGACTTAGTCTGATATACCATGGTTCTGAATCCCTGGTTTTCTGCTTGCTTTCTTTTCTTTTTTTTTAAGTTTTATTTATTTTTATTAAGCCATAGAGAAGGATCTTCTATCTTCTGGCTTACTTCCCAAATGGCTGCAGTGGCTAAAGCTGAGCCCGTCCAAAGCCAGGAGTCAGGAGCTTCCTCTGATCTCTACTATGGGTGCAGTGTCCGAAGGACTTGGACCATCTTTTAGATGCTTTCGCAGGCCAGAAGCAGGGAACTGAATTGAAAGTAGAGCAGCTGGACATGAACTGGAGCCCACATGGGACTCTGTGCTTGGAGGATTATCCTGTTGAGTCATTGAAATGGCACTTCTGGTTTGGTTGTGTAAGAGGAATAGTTTTCAGAAAAATGTTAATTACACTGAAAAATTGAGGAGAGTATAGAGGTGCCCTGTATCTTCTGCTTTGCATCTCGCCCACTACTGTCAACATTTGTACCAGAGAAATATGTTTGTTTTTGTTTTGCTTTGATTTCTTCCTCTTTGTTGTCTTCTCCTTCTCCACTCTTTTCTTCTTCCTCCTCCTCCTTTCTCTCTCTCTCTTTGCTAAGAAGACAGCATGAGTTCTAACCTCTTCACAAATTTTGAAGTACAGCCATGTAAACTGTGCTCATACACAGCATTGTACAGCAGAGCTCTAGAACGGATTCATATGGACTGGCAGCTTTTTGTTCATTGAATACTTAGTCTTCCACCCTCCCATCCATCATCCCAGCCCCTGGTGTCACCATTCTGCTCTTGCATTTTAGCATGTATCGGTAGGAAGCTGGAACAGAAGTGGGGGAGTAACACTCTGCTATGAGATGTGAGTATCCCAGGAGGTGGCTCAACACAGTGCACTATAGCACCTACCCCTCTTACTGCCTTTCTAAAGAAGATTCCTGGTCATTTGAAATTGTGCATATGACATGCTTATTTGATTTCAGAGTGCTTCAGGAAATGATCCATCTGTGTTGAAAGAATGGTGTACAACAGCAACTCCTGGAGCAAAACACGCTGGAGTTACCGATGTATGCTTGTGGAGCAGGGGATCTTCCCAGAAAAGGTGCCGTTGAGTTTGGTCTTAAAGAATCAATAGGAGTTTTGAGGCAGCTCTCGGGAAAGAATATTAACAGTCTACAGGACAATCATGCAGAAAGCATAATGATATGTGACAAGCTGTGACTTGTTTGAGGAAAAACTAGTTTTCTGTGATTGGAGTAACAGAGATAAGAAGTGAAAAATGTAGGTTGGGCCCAAGTTCATTGTTTCTTTTTATTGGAAAGTAGAGACAGCTTGCCTACCACCATGGCTGGGCCAGGCCTAAACTAAGAGCCTGAAACTCCATTTAAGTCTCCCGTGGAAGTGGCAGGGACTCAAATATCTAGGCTATTGTGAGAATGTGCACTATCAAGATGCTGGAGTGGAAGCAGATGGATGAAATTCCATTTCAATATGGAGTGTGGATGTCCCAGGGAGGACTTAAGTCCCTGAGCCAAATGTCTGCCCCTGAGGCCAGTTTCTGAAAGCCTTGTGTGTTATAGAATCTTCTCTAGTTGATAGGGAGCTATTTAATGTGGTGTTTTTTTTTTTTTAAATCAGAAGACTAGCAAGATCTGAAATGTATTTCAGAAAGGTGCCTCTACTGTGAATGTCAAAAGTAAAATGAATGAAGGTGATACTGCATCAAGGAGACAAGCTGGAGGTTGTTGGAATAGTTTGTGTGGGCAATGAACAGAGCCTGTAAAAGAGCATGAATTAAGGCAGTGTGGGTTGGCAGAGGATGACATGATTTGATTAAAGATTCAAGTACATAGCTAGCAATGGCTTTTGAATGATTCAGTGTAGAAAAGAGAGCAATTGTGAGCTCAAAAGAACATTTTAGCATGTGATCTATGTACACACTGACCTGAGACAGCATTGGAATATGATTTCCCCAGATTCAGAGGCTCTTATTAAAGGTAGCACTTTGATGCTTTAAGGAAAAAAAAAAGTGTCTTAATTTTATGGAGCTGAATAGTTATAAAGAAGAAACAAAACCATCTTTTAAAGTGTTTAATAAGATTTACATTTTAGTGTTTCATTAGACTTACATTTTATTACTTTACCAGGTAGGGAAAGTGTTTGGTGAATGTGATTGTGGAACATTCTCTCTGTAGAATTGGTATACTATGCTCTGCTTTCATTCTGTTGGCAAATTTTGATCCCTGAATTAGTTGAGATATCCGTGCCCTAAAAGCAAAAGTAACTCCCACTACATCCCCTTCAATACAGTCAGTGTACACAGTCTACCAAGGGGAGAAAAAAATAGTGAACCTTTATCCACATGTTGTTAAAGAACAGGTAACGGTATCAGTGTGATGCTGGGATCATGAGAAAGGCTGTCAAGAATCTTCATGTGGGAATAGATGCCAGCATGTGTCCCATGTGCACTATTGAAAGTACAAGAAGGACTAGATCCTTGTTACTTATGGGCAGTAGCAGTAACATTGATAAAAGAGACCCTAACAATCTCAAGTGATTACAAGCAATCAGTCTCTTATGGATGACTGATTAATGAATTACACCACAAGATCTTATTACGAAAGGAAACAGAACTATGTCCCCATGCATGCAGTGTAAGGATGGACCTCCAGTGAAATGGCTGATAATGTCCTACATTGTTGGGAGACACCTCAGTGGCAGCATGATGGGCTTGTGAAAGTTCATGAAAGATATTCATTGTAAAATTGAAGGGGAGTTCAGTGAGATGGGAAGACCCCAATGCTGATGAGATAGCACTTAGAAAAACTACCAAGTAAAGAACAAGCTAAAAAGACCCAATACTATTAATGCTAATGTAACTGCATTTTGCATGAAGGGTTGTAGGAAGACATTTTATATTAAAATAATGCCACATCAGTAATAAAAGTTATGGTATATTATATATAATACTTTTCATATCTACAACAATGTACTGTCCTTTTTTTTGGCACTGTCTTTTTAAAGAGCCTTTTTCAGTTGGTTCCACTTCAAAGAGTGGTAGATTGTTATTCCATGGTGTGCTTCTGGAGTATTGACATCCCTGTTAAGATTAGACAAATAAATCCAATAATTCTCTAAATTGTGTTAATATTGGCTGTATTCTTTAAAAGAAATTAGCATCAGTTTTCATCTAGATTGAAAAGTAGTTTCCAAGGACAGCTTATGTGCGAGTGGTGGTAATGGCGCTTGACGTAATTAGGGTGTTTTACAACCATGCAGGAAAAAAAAAAACAATAATTATTCTCATTTTTTTGTTGTTCCCTTCGTAAGGATAGGAGAACTGAGAGATGATTCAAATTATATAAGGATAGAACATTTAATTTGTTTTAGTTCATAGTATTATCTGTTTTTGCAAAAATCACTTCATAAGTTCTTTAGGTTAAGGAAAGCAAGTATCTTGGGATTGACTTTGAAAAATGAAGGTCAACTAACTCCCAGAAAGGCTTTTGTTCTTGAAGCTTATTTTGTGCCTTTCTTTACACACCAGGATATCTAGAGTCATTCTGATGTTGAAGTGTCATTTTAATGATATGTGATGATTCTGTAGGCATACATTGAGGCTTCACATGTGTGTATATGTCATTTGTGGTAACTAAGTTTTTTTCAAATGTTAGTACGTTATGAAAATTATCTGTGCCCTTTTCTCTGAAACTGAGTTTTCTGACCATTTTTAGGGAAAAACATGCAGCATTGGTGCTTACTCAACTCTAATCCTTTCTATTGTTGTGGCCTGTGGGCTTTGTCTATAGCATCTGTTCTTGCTTCCCCTAATTCACTGAGCATAAGTGCAACACATAGAGATGCATGTTGGGTATTGTTTTGTGCTTCAGCAGCTGAACACCTGGCTGTACATGTGCAGGTGCACAGAACTCTGGAGAAAGTATCTTAAGATAAAAATATGAATATAGGCAAGTTGTAGATGAGGGCTTGGGGGCTTAAGATGCTTCTGTTTTTGCAATAAAGCGAGGGCAAGAGAATGTCTTTGAATGTCAAAGAATGTGCAAAGTGCAGATCCTAGTATTTGCTTTATGACAAATGTCTTTACTGACATAATA